AAAGTCGAGATCTCCTTTGCACGCCCGACCTAGTGCACGCATCCATGCTGAGAGCTTTTTTTCGGCCTTCTTTGGGTACACCCCACACTTATCCGTTTCACTTCTTCCAGTTTGCTTCTTCAGGTTCCCCCTTTCTCCTTCCATCTTGAAGATGAGCCTTTCTTCCCCCATTCTGAGCATGGGTTACCTTTACTGAATATCTAGAATTGCTCTGCCCGTAGCCAAAATGGTCTTCCTAAAATTAGAAGGACCTCCCTATTCTCCTCCATATTCTCCACAATGAAGTCCACAACGAACAAAAATTTGTCCACCTGAACCAGCACATCTTCCACTATTCCTTCAGGTATGATGTGGTCTAATCCGCTTGTTGCAAGGATACAGGTATTGACTTGATTTCTCCAATTTCTCTCTCCAGTTTTTTGAAAATAGACAATGGCGTAAGATTAATGGAAGCACTTGAATCACACAAAGATTTTTGAAATTTAGTACTTCCTAAAGAGCAAGGTATAGTAAAACACCCTGGATCTCCACATTTTTTAGGGAGATTATTTTGCAAAATGGCACTACAATGCTTTGTCAGTTTGACGACCGATGTCCCTTCCACTTTTTTCTTCTTGGAAAATATCTCATTCAAGAATTTAGCACAAGCTGGCATCTGGGAAAGCACCTCTGTGAAAGGTATATTCATATGTACCTGTTTGAACACTTCTAGAAAGTGCCAGAATAGATTGTCCAATTTCTCTCTTCTTTGCTTCTGGGAAAAGGTAGATCAGGCATATGTCTACTTTCTTCAATCTCATTATCTGTTGCATAATCATCTTTCTTCTTTTTCTGAGCTCTAGTCTTCCCCTTCTTCTTCAGACCATCATCTACCAACCTGCACCTTTTTGAATGTTATCATTTTTCTGCTCCTCCACAATCTCTACTTGTCCTTCACTCAACTCATGCTTCTGTTTTGCCTGGGATCCTCCAATACGTGCCCACTCCTCAAAGACACAACATTTATTGTCTCTTTTGAATTTCTTTCAGTATCAGTAGGGAGAGTTCCTAGAACCCTCTCAGACAATATATTAGCTAGTTGCCAACCTGTCTTTCTAAGTTTCGAAATGTCATACTCAATTCTTTGGTGGTTGCACCATGTTCTTGTATAGCTAAGCCATGCGTTTCAAGCCTCTCATCTGTCTTAATAATAAAGGCCATCATCAGATCTTCCATGCTAGACTGATTAGACTATGAAGGCTAATATTGTTTCCTCTGCTGACTTTGAAAAACTGTAACTCCCTATTGCTAGGTTCTGGAGTTATTCTGCTACCATGAGTTTAGGCTACCACTTGATGAACTCAAAGAAAATCCTGGGTGCCTCTGTCCCATATAGTTGAAATTATTACCACTCTGGTAGTTGCCTATGTCAAAGCTTCCCACAGCATTTACCACTTCATATGCAGCTGAGGCCTGACACTCATGCATTGGATGACCCATTCCATAGAAATCACAAATTGATAATGGTTGGCTGTGGACCTTGGCTAAGGTCAACCTTTTTATATCTTTGACCATGGCGTCTAGCTGGCTTGCACTAATGTGGTAGAATCTACTTGATGAACCCCAGCATATTTTTTTCTATCATTACTCTCAGCAAGCCACTGGTTAGCATCTTCAGAGAGCTCATCTAGAATTGCCACAATCTCTTCAGGAGTCTTCTTCATTAAAGAACCTCCAACTACATTGTTCAGAGTTCGTCATGAGGGAGGTGTCAGTCCATCCCAAAAGTTCGAGAGTTGCATCCACAATTCAATCCCATTATACTGACACTTTCTCACTATCTCCTTGCATATTTCCTAAGCCTCAAAAACTGTTTCAGTCTCTGTCTGGCAAAAATTGTGAATTTCCCTTCTGAATTTCACTGTTTTTGCAGCTGAGAAGTATTTGTCAAGAAACTTTTTAGTCATGTCTTCCCATGTCTTGATCGACCCTATTGGTAAGCTACGAAGCAGTGCTTCGCGTCATCCTTCAATGAACAGGGGAATGCCCTTAGGTAGATTGCATCTTTCGACACTCCGTTGTACTGGAAGGTGTTCATGATTTCCTCAAAATCCATCAAGTGAGTGTTAGGATATTCATTCACCTTCCCTCTAAAGATACAGTTGTTCTGGACAGCTTGTAGCAGGCCTTGCTTCAACTCGAAATTATTCGCTGCTACTGGTGGAGGTCTGACATTGGACAGTCCCTGATTGTAGACTAGTCTGGCACAATCATCGAATGCTCTACTAGGCCTGGGTACCGCATTCTCGAACTGGTCTTCAATTAAGGGTCGATTTAGATTGAATCTCGACTCCTATCATCTTCGACGGTCTCTTCAGCATCTCTACGGGCTGCCTCAACTGCTATCCTTGAAGCTTCTTCTCTATGCTGTGCTGCCTCTCTTGTAGCTAAATCTACCTTGTCGTCACCGTTACTATCCATGTCTTCTTGGGTTGAAGGTTGCCCCAAGAGCTTTACGGTGAACTCTTTCTCTTTCCTCAGTTGTCATAGGTATTTTTTCCACTCCGGTTTTTAGGGTATTTCTTCTTTTGAAGAAGATCGAGTCATACACCACGAACTTAATCTGTTGCCTGCACATGGAAGAGAAACTCGTGAAGAACAAAATAAAAATAAATTCCGGAATTAGCACCCAAAACTTTTTTGAACACTATTGATTGCCAACCTTGGCAACAGTGCAAAAATTTGAAAAGCGCAAAACAGAACACAAAATTATTGCTCTCTAGTCAAAGATAATATAACACAATATCCTCTCCATATGGATTGGATTTAAACAATGTTCGAATAATTTCTGGTTTAATTGCTATTCAGGAGGATCGACACTTGAATTAAATGATTATTAACTATGTTTAACTACTAAAATAAAGCAAATCACAATTGACTGCAAAGAACTAGAGATTAGCAGAGTTGGTTTCTTATAAATGTGAGGAATAAAGGTTTGACAGGATAGGTGCAAGATAGCTATTTAGGATTTAACTCTATTTTAATTCACTCTAATATTTTAATGATTCTCACAAATTCACTCGATGATTATTTCAAACGTGTAGTCAAGACTCTTTTCTCGATTAAACCTTAACTCTACGAGGTGAACTAATATAAGCACTGTGAAAGTATGCAAGCATGCGTTAATGGATTAGTCTTTAGGAAAACGTCTCTAAAATATTCTCCTAACTTGATTTAATCAATAATTCAACAAGCTCTTTCCATTACTTAAGAGAATAAATAAATTAAATCAAACAAAATAATGTAGAGATAATCACCAGAATATTCCTCTTTCAATTAAATAGACCGGTGAATAAAGTTGCAACAATTCAAAACTCCATAAACGAATTCAAGCAAGAATTAGAGTTAAAATCCAAAAATATTTATCAGAATACCATTTTTGTCAAACACTAAGGTAAACTACTCCATAATCATGGAGGAAGTCATCACAAATATAATTAAAGAATAAGGAAGCATCAATCTAACGTTACAATCCAAACTTCGGTATTGAATTGATGGAAAAATGATGAAATCCTGAGTCTTGTAGCCACCAATGCTCTCCAAAGCTTCCTAGGTCAAACGTCCTCTCAAAATCGTATTTTTGGTGTATTTATACCATGTAGGAACGTAAGGGGCCCGGATGAAACTATCCTTTCCAAGTCGAAGTGGGACAATTGGACCGCGAAAATACACTAGCGTGGCGCCCCATACGCCACATTAGTGAGGATTTTCAAAAACTAGATTTTTTTCACTTTGTAGGAATTTTGTACTAGCACTCTGGCCCCACGGCGCGGTAGTGCAATTTTCTTAGAGCAATTTTTGTTTCTCACTTTTTGACATCCAGACTTGGTTCTCAACTCCCAAACGTGATCTCGATTTAATTTTTTGGTCTTTTACTCAAACTCCAAAGCTCCAACTTATTTAAATTAGCTCCAAATTATTTTAATATCTTGGAATCATTTCCTACAAAGCATAAAACACGTAATAAGCGCAAACCACCATTATTTAAGCGCAAACACAAGTAAAATGCAGTGATTAGAGTGCAAACTATGACTAAAATACAAATTTTTAGCTAGCCTACCATTATCTTCCTCTTTCGTAGAATATTCACTATCTCTATAAACTTCCCCATCTATGTACCTATGTTCTAGGACCCAACTCTCAGCTTGGAGGTTCCATTATTCCTTTGTCGCTCGCCCCACCTGAGGATATGAACTTACTATACCATCATTCACCCAAACCACAATAATCTAGGTTATAGTAAACTAACACTAAACCATACCACATGCAACAGTCTAAAAAAAATAGATATAAACTACAACTAAAATGCACAAATCGAGAAAACAAATAAAGGAATATACGTTTAGTGTTAGTTTACTATAACCTAAAACTTGAAATTGTGGGTCCGAGTGAGTCAAATTTCTTCATTCGTGTTAGAGAAGGAAAGAGAATAAAGGTAATGAAGTCGCCAGTTCGACAACTGGATTGTAAGACACCAGCAAGTGATGTTGAGCATCAATTGGTCAAACAATCTTCATCCTAGTTAGAGACGAAAATGGAAGAATTTTTTTTGTAACATCTAAGGGTGAACTTGATACTGCTCGTGTATATCTCCCAGGGTAAATGAAGAACATAGAGGAAATGTTAGAGAAAAATGGAAATTACTCGGGATAACTGAGGGAGGTAAGTTACTCTACATGGAATTAATTAATTTGTTAACGCGAATCCTACGTTTCACAATATTTTAAGGGAACTATATATGTGTATCTACTGCTGCATTATTTCGATAGATTTACTTGTACATCTTTCTGAAGTCCTTCATAAGTAAGGAGTAGCATAAACTGGGTTAATCATCGATTGCTATTCTAGTTTTAAAGCAGAGGACTTTGGAACGATCTTGAATTTCTTAATTTGCTTTTAGGTCTGTTGGTGCTTTTGGGTTTCTAACTTCTTTAATTTATGCATGCACGTTTATATATAAGGTACATCAAAATATAGAAAGATCAGTGCATAATGGTAGAATGATTTTGCCAATTGAAGTGAAGGAGGAGCCTATGTATGTAAATGCCAAACAATACCATGGAATTCTAAGGCGAAGGCAACTTCGTGCAAAGGCTGTGTTGGAGCAAAAAGTGGTTAAATCTAGAAAGGTAATTACTCTTCCTGTCTTACACATATATATATATATATATATATTTGTTGATGAGAGCTCAAGCCATCACTTTTTACAATTATTGATAAGAAATACTATATACTAGTAATTAATATATAGGCATGTTTAACTTGACATGGTCTGGTAGAGGTGAATTCAGGATCTAGAGTTAGTGTGTGTCAATAGATGAGTGTTTTTATATTCATATGTATGCATAGTTTGACTCGAAAGTAATGGTATCAGTTGAACGACAAAGGGTCAGCTAAATGATGTTGTTTCTTCAAATGCATGCATATCAGCCTTATCTTCATGAATCTCGGCACCGGCATGCGATGAGAAGAGCTAGAGATGGTGGAGGCCGATTTCTCAACACAAAAAAGAAGATCCAACTTCCTGCTAATAATAATATTAATACAACTACTCCAAGTAGTAAAGGCAAAGGTTGTGCAGCCTCGGAAGTCAGTTCCATGGACTCTGATTTCTCTCAAAATTACTTGCTCAATTCTGGACATATTGGATCATCCAATGCTACTTCTGTTGAAGGATTCCAGTTCCAAGGAATACATAATACAGATAATCCTCAATTGGGTTGTCATTATCAGTGGAATCTCAATGACAACCATTGCTATTGCATGCAGTCAGGAGCTTCTAATCTCCAACCATTTTGAAAGAATGATAGAGTAACTCGATCTAGTATTCTCTGATTTGGTCTTCAAACCATATGAATGATACACTAGCACTAGTTTAAAAAGATGGGAGTTATGTAAGTATCTAATATCCCTGCAGCTGCAACTTTATCTGTTATAAACACTACTGTAGTAGTACAAGTTTTGGGGTTTGTCACTATGCTTTAAAGTACTGTCTAACTTTCGTTCAACGGGGAGATAATTTGAGGGAAATTTTAATCATCCATGTAAAAACAAGCAAATATTAAAAAATGAAGGAAAGTTAAATGATAATTTAAAGTGGTTTCTGATTTTCTTCATTCGCCTTAATTTGCTTACATTCTATGAGAACTAGTTTTTATAAATGTGCCTACTTTATTATGAGCATGAGTCAGTATTAGACAACAGTCATTTCACCTCAATCCCCAAACAAGTTGGGATCGATGAGAGAGTAAAATCCCTAAACCACTACTACAACTGATTTAAATCATTGGATTTCCGCACTTAGTCTCCAGCATCATGATTAGTTCCATACCTAAGTACTAGGAAGACATGTGTATCTATACTCACTTTTTGGGGTCACAATTGAACTTATACCCATTTTACAAGTCTACCCACTACTTTAGAATTAATTTCAGACTTATCGAGTCTGAAGTTAAAAAAATTAGTCCGAAGTGTAATGCACTTGAGGCCAATTAAGTGTAAAGTACAAAAATTGCACTTAAGATGCACTTAAGGCCAAATAGGTTTGAAGTGCAACTAATGCTTTCATGCACTTAAGGCAAAATAGGTCTGAAGTGAAAAAATGTACTTCAGATGCACTTAAGGCCAAATAGGCCTGAAGTGTAAGTGAAAAAATTACACTTCAGATGCACTGAAGGCCAAATACATTTGAAGTGCACCTAATGTTTTTATGCAGTTAAGGCCACGTAGGCCTGAAGTGCAAATTACCCAAAAACATAAATTCGTTACGAATTTTAACAATCCAATATACGATTTAACACCTAAATCTACTCCAAATGAGCTCATATTTGAAACATAACCTCCAAATATCATCAAGAAAAAACTCCAATCATCAATTTGTCAAAATAACAATAAATCTAATTAATCCATTTTGCAATGAAGAAGAAGAAGAAACCATAAACAGTAGTACAAAATAAAGCGCCACAACAACTCACCACTATAAAATACCATAAACTACCTTAAGATATTCTCACAAATACCATATGAATTCACTGTCACCTTTATTTTCACAGCAAAGAAGAAAAAGAAAAAGGAGAAGGATTAGAAAATGGCCTGAAGTTATGAACTTTGGATGTTAGTTAATTTTTTTTTAAAAAGTAGGTACAAATTAAATGGAGGCGACTACTTAAGGCACCTCGTACAATTTTTACGAAGTTTATGCACACACAAAACAATGAGGTACAACTTACCAGATACTTATAGTCTTGCTTTTATTCATGGTAACATTTAACGTGCCAAAATAAGTATGACGGTGCAAATCACCTTTTTTGAAAAAAAAAATTAATTTCCTCCTACCCTAGGTTCACATTTTTGCCTCTTAAGCAAAAGTCATTCAAGTTTGAGGTACGTACCGTTAGATCCCAAAGCACACACAAGTATACAAAGTTCATGTCACGATCCAAAATCCTAACCTATTGTGATAACACCTGATGTGGTACTAGGCAAGCCGATATTACGAGATAATTCCCACACTTTTAATAGAAAATGGATTAAAGCAGCTTAAATAATAATAATTCTCATAACAGGGACAGAAACCTAAAACTCTACGCGAAAATTTCCAAATATCGGGGTGTCATAGAGTACATTAGCATCTAATATCACAAGTCTAGAAAAAACTGTCTATGATAGTCCAAAACTAAATACAATAAGCGAAAGGATAGGGAAGGAGAAACAAGGTCTGCCAAACGTCGAGCAACTACCTTGAAATCTCCAAAGGATCAACTGCGCAGTGAATCAACATCCACCGTGTCCGAAAATACCTAGATCTGCACACGAAATGTAGAGTGTAGAGTTAGTACAACCAACTCAGAAAGTAACAAGACTAAATAAAGAACTGAAAGTAGTGACGAGCTTCACAATTGAAGTTCAATTATAGTAATTTCAACATAGGAAGGTAGGCATGCTATCAAGTTCGACAACAAAGGCCAAAATAGTTAATTCATATCAAGTTCAACTGAAATAGAGATAATATTTCTCAAAAATGTCAAGACAGTGATATATGACAGCTTAAGTGCAATAATAATGAAGTCAATGCATCCTCTCAGACTAACAGTCACCCAGTCCTCCCATTCACTCAAACCTCACAATCCCTCTTTCCTCACAATCACTCATTCCTCTCAATCACTCAATACTTGGCACTCGGCATTCGCACTCAGTAGACACCTGCGCTCACTAGGGTTGTGTACAGACTCAGGAGGGGCTCCTTTAGCCCAAGCGCTATAACAGGACAATCATGGCATAATGAAACATGTTGCGGCGTGCAGCCCGATCCCATAAATATCTTCACAATCATGCCCTCGACCTCACTCAGTCATCAACCTCTCTAGTCTCTCAGCCTCTCAATAATTATGAAAATCAGTCCAAACAGAAATGATATGATATATCAACAAGGAACAATAAAGACTAAGATATGATATGCAAGTAAAATAGAGACTAAGTACAAATAACAATTTAGTAGATAATTAACACGTAACACGACCTCTGTGGGTCCCTACAGTACCAACACATAGCCTAAACATGATTTCTAACATGGTTTGCAATCCAATAGCTATAACACATGGAGAATATACGGATAAACAACATATTATTCGACTATACAGTCTCATGGAATTTCCCAAATCACAATTCCTATGGTGCACGCCCACATGCCCGTCACCTAGCATGTGTGTCACCTTAAAACCAATCACATGACACATAATCCGGGTTCTTATACCCTCAAAACCAAATTTACAACTGTTACTTACCTAAATTCAAGCAAATCTCTACTCCACACCTTTGCCTTGCGAATTGGCCTTCAAATGTCCCTAATCTAGCCTCAAATAGTACGATACAATTAACACGGGCTAAACAAAAAAACTCCATAAGGAAATACTAAGTTATTAATCAAAAGTTAAAATCGACTTAAAAGCCAGCCCCCGGGCCCACGTCTCGAAATTCGATAAAAGTCACAAAACCTAAAAACCCATTCAACCACGAGTCTAAATATACCAAATTTATCAAAATTTGACACCAAATGGCCACCCAAATTCCCAAATCAAACTCTCTAAATCCCTAGTCTCAAACACCCAATTTACACCTTACATACACACCAGCAAGGTGGGAAAATCAATGGGAAAGCAAGATTATTGATAAAAAATGAGCACAAGGGACTTACCTTAAAAAATCCCCTCGAAAATTCTCTCAAGAGTCGCCAAAACCCGAGCTCAAAATGTTTGAAATGAAGCAAAATCGCAAACCCTTGTATTTAAGTGTTCTGCCCAGCATTTTTGCTTCTGCAGAAACTTAACCACTTCTGTGGCGTCGCAGAAGCGACCACTCACCTGCATCTGCAGCTCCTTCTGCTCCTACGACCCATCACTCCGCTCCTTCGGACTTGCTTCTGTGATCATCCAAGCTGTTTCTGTGGAACCTAGCTACTCTACCTCATTACGCTTATGCAGTCCCCTTGCCGCATCTACAGTCACACAAGTGCGGCAATTCCCTCGCACCTGTGGCCACCTGCACACACCCCTCCAAACTCGCACCTACGCAACCCAGCCCGCACCTGTGATCAAAGCTCCGCAGATGCGGTTACACCAGTAGAGTCCAGCTTCAACAATCTCCAACTTCAACTTTTGATTCATTAACCATCCAGAATCAACCCGAGGCCCCTGAGACCTCCGCCAAACATACCAACAATCCCTAAAACACGACACGAACTTAGTCGAGTCCTCAAATCACCTCAACTAACATCAAAAATATGAATCACACCCCAATCCAAGCCTATTAAAACTAAGGAATTCCAACTTTTACAAACGACGCCGAAACCTATCAAATCACGCCTGATTGACTTCAAATTTTGCAAACAAGTCACAAATGACACCATGGACCTACTACAACTCTCGGAACCCAGATATGACCCCGATATCAAAAAGTTCACTCTCGGTCAAACTTTCCAAAATCCAACTTTTCACCATTTCAAGCCTAATTCAACCACGGACCTTCAAATAACAATCTGCATACGCTCCTAAGTCAAAAATCACCTAACGGAGCTAATGAAACAATCAAAACTACATTCTAGAGTCGTTTACATATAAGTCAACATCGGTCAACCATTTCAACTTAGGATTTCAACCTTGAGACTAAGTGTCTCAATTCAGTCTGAAATCTCTCCGGACCTGAACCGACTAGCCCTACAAGTCACATGACATCTATAAAGTACATAATGAACAGTAAATAAGGGAACAAGGTTACAACTCTCGAAACAACCGGCCGGGTGGTATATCCTCCCCCTCTTAAAAAAATGTTCGTCCTCGAACGGGTCTAGAAACGTACCAGGAGTGTCAAATCGGTGTGGATATCTGCTCCGCATCTTCGGCTCAGTCTCCAAAGTAGTCCCCTCAACTTGCTGACCTCTCCACTGCACCTTCACTGAAGCTATGCCCTTTTACCTCAACTTTCGAACCTGCCGATCCAAAAAATATCCAATTGAACCGTGCTGAAATCCAAAACATGAGACAAATCCCCGACATACATACGGAGCATAGAAACATGAAATACTGAATGCACACTCAACAAACTAGGTGGCAAAGCAAGCTTGTAAGCCGCCTCTCCAATCCTCTAAAGTACCTCAAACGGTCCAATATACCGAGGGCTCAACTTTCCCTTCATCTCGAACCTTATAACACCCTTCATGGGTGAAACGTTGAGCAAAACCTTCTTCCCAACCATGTAAGCAACATCACGGATCCTCTTGTTGGCATAACTCTTTTGTCTAGACTGCGTCATGCGAAGCCGCTCCTGACTCGATTTAACTTTGTCAAAAGCATCCTGAACCAACTCAGTACCCAATAGCCTAGCTTCACCCAGCTCAAACCAACCCAATAGAGATCTACACCATATTCGAGCCTCATACGGAGCCATCTGAATGCTCGACTGGTAATTGTTGTTGTAGGCAAACTCCGCGAGTGGCGGAAACAGATCCCACGAACCCCCAAAATTAATAACATAATCGCATAGCGTGTCCT